TTTCATTTATATATGTTATATAAAAATATTATCTCAATCCACATGAAAAACGTCGAGCGAATAAGTAAAACAGCTAGATTGGAATGAGCATCGAGATGAGATTTATAAAAATATTAAAATTTTCATTTATATGTCATATAAAACTATTACTTAAAATTACATACATAAAAATTAAAGTGGACAGATAAAAAACAACTACAGATAAGGTACTTATTATGTACAAGTCAATAATATTTTGTAGTGTATGAAATATATGTATGCATAAGCAATAATTTAAATAATTTAATGATCATTTTTTTTTTTTTTAGTAAAAGTAAAAGGTATTGAATTCAAATGAGATTATATGCAGGTGAAATGAGTTAAGCAATGGAAGAGTGTTACCTAGAGGTGGCAAAAATCTACCCAATCCATCAACCCAAGCCTAACCCAACTTGCAAAAACGGGTTAGGGTCTACATATTTTAACTCGTAATCCATAGATAATACGTAATATCAATTGGTATGGATCACAGGTTGAATTAGGGTCAACTTGTGGATTGATGGGTTAACCCGTTTACTTTATTTATTATTATTATTTTTAAAAATACTATACTTATTATTCTTAATTAATTTTCTTATTGATAACTTTCTCCATTAATTCATACTCTTCAACCTAATTTCCATTACTCAAATGGTTTTGAACTTATCTTGAGTATTTACTCATCATTATTTCTTCTTTTCTTTTCTTTTTTCTAAAAATTATGTGGGTTTGATCTAATTATCAAATATCATGAATTAAATGATAATACAACTAAAAATATTGAAAACGTGATGCTAGGATATAAACATAATAATTTAGAGAAAAATGCTCTTGGAAGAGCAATTTAATCATTAAAAAAAGGGTTTGAACTGCTTGATAATGTTTCAAAATAATTGTAAAATTAAAACTTTATTTTTCAAGAAATTTAAATATTTTAAGTTTAATATTGTTAATTAACTTACTGTTATTTATAACTTTGTGATTTTTTCTTAATTTAAATAGTTGTAGTGAAAACTATAAAGTGCTTATTATTAATGAGTTATAATACTTTAACTGGATTTATATATAATTTTATTTGTATATAATAAAATTAATAAAATTAATAAAAATAATTATAAAAATTGAAAATAAAGGTAACCTGCTTGTTAACCTGTAATTCATTAGGGTCATGTTAGGGTTGAACTTTTCCAACCTGCAACTCATTTACGACCCAACCTATATAACCCGTTACCCGAGTTGAACCAACTTGAACCCGACCCAACCCGCCCATTTGCCAAGTCTAGTTTTACCTTTCATTACACAATCCAAGATCAAATATATATATATATATAATAGAATATTTTGTTCCGTGGGTTTATGCTATGTTATGATAATGCATCAAAGAGATATTCACTACAAGAAAATCCACATTTAGTGACTAAATTATTGATCATGCTTTTAGTGACAGATTAAGCACTTGTCACAAAAAATAATCTTATAGTGATAGAAAAAATTGACATTGTTAACAAGTTATTTATAATAATTTTATTCGTCACAAAAAAAATCACTTCTTCTCATAATAATTTTCGTCACAAAGATAACAATTAAGCGACTAAAAAAAAAATCACAAATGCAATTAAGTATCTGTGACCAAAAAATTTAGTCATCAACTATTAAAACCGATATTGAACTAATAAGGGTATTTATGTAATTACAACATAGATTTATGAGGAAAAGATTGTTCACAAATATTAAATTATGTGACAAAAAAATTTTGACACAATTGTTACTTTAATTGTGATGAAAAATTCATCACAAATGCAATAAAGAATTTGTGACAAAAAACTTAGTCTTGAATGATACAAACCAATAAAGATTACAAAAGGGTATTTATGTAATTAAAACATATATTTGTAACCCCAAATTTTGTCACTAAAATAATTAATACCACCCAATTTAATAAAAAAAATAAGATTTATAAATACTATAAATTTATAATATTTATAAATTTTATAAATATTATTAACTTTTATTTAAATCAACGATTTGATAATTATTAACTTTGGTTAATACAAATAATTTTGTTTTAAAGCATATTAAATTTAAAAGAAAAAAATGTGACAAAATATTGTAAATATAAGATACTAATCATTAATTAAAAATGACATAAAATCCAATAGTTCTAATTTAAATTAATATTAAAAACAATAAAAATAAATATCTAAAAAACCTAATTGTAAAGGAACATATTCCTTTCCATTCCATATTCTATTTAAAAGGACCTGTGTATTTGGGAAGAAGGTTTTCCAACTAAGTACGGACTATATCAGACACATCAATCATGTTGTTAAAAGATTGGCTCTGTTGTTGATGAAGAGATTCTTTAAGTTGTTTCTTTAAATCATCTATTTGCTCTTTCAAAGATAATCTATACTCTTCTTGATTCTTTATGACCTCATTTAATCTTTCAATCTCTGTCTCCATGATATCAACATGTTTATTGGCTTCTTTTGCATTGGCTTGAAGTTGTGCTTTCTCTTCATAATTTTTGTTAATTCCTCCTATTCCAAGACCACGGGCGTATCCCCCTTTTCCTATTCCAACACATCTATTGGAGTGATACAACAAGAGAATTTGGTTGAAAGTGAGGATGGAATTTTAAGTCGAGAAGAATTAGTAGAAGTTACTGTTGAACAAGGGCCAATAAATTCAGAAATGGTAACTGCAGATGAAGAAAAGGAGGATGAGATTGATTATGATGATGACCTTCCTTCTAGTGATGATGAAATGTTGGTGCTCGGTGAAGATACAAATGATGATTTGTAATCATGTATTTTGTTCATTTTGGTCTAGTGTTGGTGTGTTATGGTTTTTGGTAATTAGTAGGTACAATGGAATGAGTTGTTTTATTATAATATTTAGGTAATATTAGTGTTATTCTTATTGCATGGTATCAACATTACCTTTATAGTGTTGACACTTAAACATTGTTTGGTTTCCAAGTCTTCCATTATAAACTAGTAAAGATGGTTCTTAATCTTTTATTTTATGAATACTTTGACCCTAAATATTTTTATTTATTCATTTATTTCTTTAGATTATAATTTTTGTTGTCCTTAAATTTTTTAAATGTTTGCAAATAAGTCTTTAAACTTAAGTTATTATGCAATCATGTTTTTTCTTGGTAAATTAATCTTGATTTTATTAGTTTTATACCTAGTTTTTGCCAACGCTTTTGATATTTTGTCAACAAAAAGTCATTTCTTTTTTTTTTTTTCAAATTTTAATTTCTCACAAAATTATTAGCTTAATATGAAAATTTTTAAAACTTTTTAGCTATTAAAACATAAAATAAGTGAAATTTATTATTAATACTTCAAATTTATTACAATTGTGATAACTTATAATGATAAATTTTACCATTGGAAGCTTATATTTTATCTATGCCTATTTTTTAATAACAAAAAATAGTTTTAGTAACAATTTATTTCTTCATTATTGAACACAGGTATTTGTGATCATCATTTGAAAATTTTCAACATTATGAGGAATTGTAATGATGATTTTAATCACCACAAGTCAATATTATCTTTATGACAATTTTCTAGTGATGAAATATATTTTTAGTGATGATTTTTTTATGTTATTGTTGAACATTTGGTTATATGTGACTAATATTAGAATTCTGTCATAATCATAATAAATTATAATGACAATTTTTATCGACAAAAACTTATTTTATCTCTATATACGAACATTTTTCGATGATGAAATATATTTTTTATAATGAATTTTTTTCATCATCATTAAATATGTGTGCATCTGTAACTAATTTTTTAGATTTATCACAATTGTAATAAATTATAGTAATGATTTCAAAATTCATCACAAATTTCTATCACTAAAAACCATTTTTCTTGTAGTGATTGGAAACAAGGTTGTCTTTAACCTTGTCTTTAATCTCCAAATGCATTTAATTCTTCTGCTAAAGTAATTGGTTTAAGATCTATATGGTATAGCAATTCAAATCTAGTAAATAGTGGGTAGTAAATAATGGATATATAATAGATAGTTCATTCTATATTTTCTATATTAAAATTATTAATTTTATATAAATAATAAGAAAATAAAAAAATTAAATTAAATATAAAAGTGTGAATCACACACTCATTTTTTATTTTTAGCAAAAAATTATATTACTTTTAAATAAAAAATAAAATTTTAATTATTTTGTCTAATTAAGACATTTTGTTTATTAAACTAAAATAAACGTGAAATGAAAGAAAACATAAAGTAAGTACATTAAAATATCTTATAGTCACTTGGTTTAATTTTAATAGTTTTAATTTCACTTTTTTACTTTTCATATATGAATTTTAAATGAAAAATTAATAATTTATATGAACAAAAATTTTAAAAATATTTATATATAGTTCTTGTTGAATTTTTTTATTTGATAAATAAATTTTAATTATCATTTATATAACATATTCAGTTTTTATTTAAAATTCATTTTAAAAAAATTTAAAAATTAAACTAAGATTATTAAAATTGAGCAAATAAAGTACTAACATGTGCGTGCAATCAATCTTTGTGAAATGAAAGAACATAATAAAGTTACAAATAGTAAATATTTCGATGAAACCTTAAGTCTCATATTTAAGTCTCTGAGTGAGAGAGAGAGAGAGAGAATAGTTTTTTTTTTTTTTAATTTGTGATGTTATAAAATAGTACAATTCGAATTACGAAAATATGAGTTAAAATATCCTAATTTTTTTTTATAGAAATTAAAATGTTCTCAATAAATCTTATTTATTAATAGTATTTAAATGTTTTCACAATTTGTATAATATGCAATTTGAACTATAAAAATTGCATGTAAAAAAGTATGTAAAATACGTGTGCATTGTGTCATATATAATAATCATATCCAACTCAACTTGACTAATTAAGATTCATAAATTTCTAGTTACATATATCAATAGAGCATAATTTTTTTATAAATTATCTAGTCTTGACATAGATAATTTTTATTTTAAAATTAAATGAAAAATATAAACTTAATACGTTGCGTAAGAGTTGACGTATGATACCATCTTGCTTTTATGCCTAAAGTATCCAACTCAGCTCCCCATGGGTATGATTAAAGTGCATGAACTTATGAAGTTTGAGAGATGCATGGCCGGCAGCATATAAACTATACTTGTAGTACAACAATGTCATCCACAAAGGTAAGAGAATATCGCAAGTTGAAGGGTATAATTTAATTTTCTAGTTTTAGCTTTAGAAATTATCATGTGCGTCCCAATATCCAATCTTCGTAGAGCCAATCAATGTGAGTGGCCCATACTTTGCTTCCTATAAGCGTTTTATTTTCTCTATTTTCCATAGTTCTTGGCCTTCACGCGTATGTTTCTTTGATTTTCTGACAGAACAAAGTGCCGTACTGCTGGGTAAAACCTTAAAAAATGAGTAAACTTACTGTTCATCACTGAATTTATTGGGTATTTTCACTTTGGTCACTCACTTTCAAAACCTAGCAAATTGGTCAAAGAATTTTAATTAGAGGTACAAAAAGGGGCAGCACCAATTTGTGTCATGTTTTCCCAGGTATATATAGCCCAGTAGAGCATGTTGTTCTATGACCAAGGCACAAGGCCAACACGTTATGTGCCAGTCCTAACACGAAGCTTAATTAAGTCATGCTTGGTTGGAAACCACATGTATACACATCCAAAAAAAGGGAAAAAAGAAATGAATACAAATTTTATTTTAATTTGTTTGATTAATAGTGTAAATAGTTGCCCTCATTCATTCTTGTGGACACAAGCTTTCTTATGCCAAAACCACATAAATTAATTTGCATGGGACAATGATTTTCCTTCACATTTACATTTCTCATCTCTAGCACTTAGAAGATATTTAAATTTAGAAAGAAAAAAAAAATTGTATGCACAATATGTCTTTAAGTCACAACACGAATCTAGCATGATTGAGTCCAAACCTGGTACGAACAATGCTTTCTTGCACCATTTGTTATGTTGGGGCGTGGGTCATTTTGGTCGTGTTAGGCACGACATAGTGGACTGAGCATGTGGTGCTAGCATAGTCCTACCCTTGACATGTCATGCTGACCCCCAAGATATCCCAATTCACACCTCTAAATTTTCTTTTGGAAATTGTGTGACCAAATTGAAAACCCGTCATAAGTATAGTGACTGCACATATAATTTTCCCTCAGAATGTTAAACATATATATATCAAAAGGGTTAGCATTTTCAAGCTTAGTGTAGGAAGTCTCAAATCAAAAGTGATTAAAGCATCTCCCATCACTTCCTCGTCCTCACTTTGTGAACAAGCAGAATCTTTGTCAAAAAAGAGAGAAAAAAAGATCACTTTATTCAATAAAACAACCAGCCTGAGATCTTCACTTTACAATCTCGAAGATCACATTGGCTGCTCGAGATATCTCAATCATTTGACACTTGGATGTTCTCTTGTCAGGCTGCCAAGGTGGACGAATGTTCTTTGCTAAATTCGTGATATGACCATTAGATTCCATTATGCGCGCAACAAGGGTATCTTGGGCCTCATTGTCTCATGGTAGAAGAATTTTATCTCACTTCATTGTTTTAAAACTGAGGCTTATGTTAGGATCATTTCTTCTACCTTAATTAGGCCCTTTTTTCAAACTTCTTTTATGTATGAGGTTAAGGTAGCTTGATCTTTTATTGTAGAGAAAGTTTCAATCTTAGGTTCCAATTATAAGACAGTAGGAGGAGTTTGGAAATATAAGATGATTGTTTCATACTATATACATGATCATTAGATGTACTAATGAAAAGATAAAATCTTTATTTAAGACAATTTTTTTATATTTAATTTTCATTTTTCAACTTTTTGAAACTCAAGTAGCATTTGTAATCAAAGTTGAGTGTCTTTATTTCTACCTTTAAATATTTTTTATTTAAACAAAGATTTTGAAAGTTTTATCTTAAAATAAGTTCTTATTATATTATTATACGATATTAAATGATGAGTAATTTCATACATTGGTAGAGCTAAGCAAGTATTGAGCGGGCGCAACCCCTCTAAAATTTTGTAAAGAATTTAGTTTGGTTTCTTATATTTTATTTTTATTTTTTTTATCCTAATTTATTTCATTCCATTTTAATCACTTTTTAGTATTGGTTAAATCTTTAATTTAGTCCCTGAGCTATTATATGGACCCCCACTTGGTTCCTAAACTAATAAATCCTTGATTTAGTCCCTAAATTATTGTTCAAACCCCCAATTTGGTCCATATTATTTTCCAATTTATCTCAAGTTGGTCTTTTCATACAAAAACCAATTGACGTGTCTTGTTATTAACATGACATGTGGTTGTTAAGTTATTGTTTTCCGCCGTTAAGTAATGGATACATTAGCTGTTTTTTATACGGAATGACCAATTTGGAGTAAATTGGTAAACAGTAGAGACCAAATTGGAGATCTGTACAATAATTTAAGGACCAAATCAAGGATTTTTGTAGTTTAAGGACTAAATTGCAGGTCCATACAATAGTTTAGAGATCAAATTGAGAGTTTAACCTTTAATATTTGTGTTGTTAAAGTTACTTTTAATGATAAAGAGAAAAGATAATATAAAATATAGAAAAAGGTGAAAGTCAATTGAATAATAATTATTTATGATAATGTTTTATAAAGTATTTACTCAGTAATATCCTTACTTTTCTTGTTTCTTTGTTCATAGCATATATTCTTCTACCTAATATATGTACGCATACTTTTACCTTTCAATTAATATTGTTTATGTTATGTTATCAATTATTATTAGTTTATCATTAAAGACTAATTAATATTATATAATTTTTTTAATACCTTTCAAATTGACATAAAAGTCTTTTTTTATCAAAATTTTATTTTACCCCTTAAAAATATAATATATATATATATATATATATTTTTTTTTGGCTCTGTCACCGATTTCATACGTGACATGATACACACTATACCGAATTTAGTCAATTACAATATAGTGATAAAAAAATTATTAAACTCAATCATTAAAAAACAAAAGGTTTGTTTGTTGAATCATTTGCACCCATTTTAGCGAACGGTGAACAAACTAAGAGAAGATACTGAGAAGATGGTGCAAGGATATTTGAGATCATCATCAGAAGAAGACAGAGTCGGAAGTCATGAACTTCAATGTTAAAAGAAAATAACTATAGAACAAGAGGGATCAGGGAAATTAACTTTCCAAATTCTGGACTTAAAAGATTTTTGAAGGTGAAACTTGGAGTTGAGGCATCTTTGTGAGATGTGATACCCCACCCCTCCGGCCCGCTAATACAGAAGATGGTGCTAGGATGTTCGTGATATGATCGGGAGAAGATAGAATCGGAATTCATGTACTTCGCCATGGATAACTTGTGTGGTGCTGAACTCACCTGTCCATGAGTGTTGAAAAAGGCAATGACGATGCAAACAGTAGAATCTCATCAAAGGATCATGTTGAATATGATGAATCTTCATCGGGTGCTTTGCATATCCCAAAAAAATAAAAATTTTTCAAATTTTCATTGAGTATAATTAACGTCTTGCCTTAATTTGCCGAACTCTCATGAATTCATTGAAGTTAAGACATTGAAAGATAGTTGAATATTGTCAAGCTATAAATATCATAATACTTCTTCTTTTATCTTAAAATAATGGTTTATTTTCATTTTTACTTTTAAATTAAAGATTTAGAGGTAGTTTTTTTTTTCTTTATTTTATTTTAAAAAATAAAAATATTTTTTATGATAAGATAAATAATTAACTCAATAGCACTTGGATTTGATTTGACAACTCTATGCCTTGTAGTAACGTGCATTCCCCCAATCTTAAAGTTGGAGTCTGAATCCCTCCTTCCCATAAATTGTTAAAAAAAAAAACCCTTAAGAGATAATAATATAATTAAAGTAAAAAAATATTTGTCTTTTTTAAAATATAAAAAAATAATTATTATTCTGAGACAAATAATAAACCAAAAAACAAATTGGATGGAGGGGGTACTAATTAATATTTAGCTTTAATAACACATAAATATTGTAAATAAAAATTATATGAATATCATTAACCTTCGACCATCTACACCCAAATAGAAATTTGAGACAGCTTGTCCGTGTGCCTTTGTTATCTGCAGGGAGGGAATAACCTTTGCAGTGAAATGTACCCTCTTTTTACAGTTTATAACATCTGCATTTAGTATGATTATAATTAGAAAATGATTTTGGAACAACCTTTTTATATCACATTTTGATACAATTTGATGTGTTATTTAAACGATTGGTTTTTTAAATTTATATAGCAGTCATTATGTTAAATACATCTACTCATTTAATGACATGTGAAAGTTATATAAAAAAGTGATATAAAAAATTTGTCCTTATAAAACAATTTATTATAATTTTGGATTTGGATTTTTAGTTTTGACTTTCATAAATTTTAAAAATTTAAATAAAAAATTATTTATTTATTTTTATGTATTTTTACAATATATTATCATGAAGTAAGGATAAAATTAGTTTTAATATTATTAAATAAATTTATATATTTTTTGTTATAAGCGTGAAAACTTGTTTTATATAAATTATTAGATTTTTTTTTTTTAGTTTTAACTTTTAAAAGTTGAAAATTTTATAAAAATCAAAATTAAAAATCCAAAATCATAACCATATTAAACAGAATTTGAGTTTATTCTCAATTGTAACACAGGCGATTCTTCCAAAATTCCAAATTATGATATACTACCTTCGTTCTTATTTATCAACCTAATTTTATTTTTGCACACGTAACTTTAGGTAATATTTTTATATAATATATAAATTATAATTAAAAATTCCTTTAATAAAATAAAACTACTCAACAACTGCTACATATTGAAAAGAAAAATTTTTAATTATCATTTATATACTATGTAAAATTCCCCTAAATTTGTATTCAAAGTTAATTATACATAAATAAAGAAGAACAAAAGGAGTATTTCCATAAAAAATTAATTTTTTCAACTCTAAAGGTTGAATTCACTAGTACATAAGTATTTGTTTTATAAGCTATGCTCAAAAAAAAAAAAAAATGGTATTTGTTTTACAAGCTGAATTTAGGGGTTGAGTTTTGGGGCATACCCCTAAAAAAATTGAACTAAGCACAAAAAAAAAGGGCCCAAAAAGTAGTTTAATGATTAAGAGTTTGAAATTTCAAATCGGAGATCTAAGGTTTGTATCTTGAATTGGATGAAAAGAGATTTTAAGGGAAAGAGAAAGTAATCTTCTTTTATATAGTCCATCATTATTAAATATAATATATATATATGGGGTATACAAGTATAGTTCCACAAATAACTTTGAAAAAAACAATGAGAGAGAGAGGACGGGAGAGATTGAGAGGAGGCGATCGATGGACAACGGTAAGGAGGACAACACAGAGCAGAGGGCATGGAAGATCTCCATGAAAATGGCAGCAGAGGAAGATCACACCGGTGGGATAGAGGAACGCTTAATTCAACCAAAATCAGATTCAAAAAGGAAAGATAGGAGACGCATATGACTAGAGTCTATACAAACAAGTTGTACCGTACTTCTTTACAAACTTTCCAGATGAATCGACTTATGCAGACATGTGGAACACTTTTCGAAAGTTTGGAAGAGTTTACACCATTTACAGCCCAAATAGGAGAAGTAGGAATGGCAGCAAATTCGGATTTGTGAGATATCTTGATGTGAAAGACAGAAGAGAGCTGGAAAGGAAGCTGGATCAGATATGGATTGAGGGCAAAAAGCTATGGGTAAATACTCCAAGATATGTCGAGGCAAAGAATGAGGCGAGAGAATAGAAAACCAATCAAGGATTGGAACTGAAACCACAAAACAGAAGCTATGCTAAAGTGTTGAAGAGTCAAAAAGAGAAAGAACAAGATGAGAAGTAAAGAGAGCAGTTCAAGGTGAATCAATGGAAAGGACAAAGGACTAACAGAAGCCAAGTCAAACATGTAGAGGGAGACATGGGTAGCAAAAAAGTATGGCAAGAGAAGGGAAAGAGTGTTAATTGGGCCGAATTCAAATATAGTGCTAATCCAGAAGATTATGCATGGCTTGATAGATGTTATGTGGGAACCGTTTATTCAGTTGAAATGGTTCCAAATTTGCAGGAAAAATTTTATATGGAATGATATTTTTCATGCTGGATATGTGCTATGGGAGGAAAAATGGTGTTGCTTGATTGTGATGACAAGGAAAAGCTGAAAGATTTGGTGGAGATGGCATCAAAGTGGTTAGCACAATGGTTGGTCACCAGAACCGATTGTGGATGAAAGACTTGTGTGGATTAGATGTCAAGGAGCACCCCTAAATGAATGGGGGACAGATTTCTTTGCAACTATGGGCTACTTGTGGGGTAAATTCATTTGCTTGGATGATAGCACAAGCCAAAAAAGAAGATTTGATATAGCTAGATTCTTGATCTCGACCTTGATGATGAACATTATCTCCGTCACACGACAAATTAAAATAAATGGGTCCATGTACAACTTCAAATTCACGGAGGAGGAGTTCACCAATAGCTTCTTCTCCTTGAAGCAGGACTTCATTCCAATATTCCAAAGTGAGTCTGAGGAAGATGAATCATGGTCATCAAGCAATTATAAGGAGGATAATGATTCTGAGAAGGAAGCAGAGATGGAGCAAGAGAACGAAAGAGCCGTTGAAACAGAGAAAGAACATGATGATGTGGTGTACAACAATAGGGAGGTTGATGGAAAGCAATTGACACACGATCAGTAAGACGAAAGTGAGACAATCGTGAGACAATCGAGAGACAATCGAAGTTGTGGTGGATAGCATAAACCAAATTCAAAATTTGAATGAAGATAAGAATAGCACAGCAGAGGCATGGGTTTTGTAGCAACAGGGGAATTTGGTAAAAAATGTGAGTTTCAACGGATATGCAGCAGAAACTTTAGGCCTCAAGGACAAACAAAGGATAAGGCTAAAGGGGAAGTCCAACACACAAGGAGATAGCCCAAGTCATGTGGAATCATCAAATGTGGGATTGGCCCAAAGAATAAGGGGAGTGGGCCCATCTCTTGATAATACAATGGAGAAGAATAAAAACAAAGAGGGCAAGGCATTAATTCTTAAAGATAAAATGGGGGACTTTATTCAATGGGAACACCATGATGAAGATGAGTAGAAAAAGATTCTGAAGCAGAAGGGATCGAAGGGATTTCCATAAAAAGGAGGAAGAAAATTAGATGGTGCAATGCGATATACTGAAAGGAGGAAGTTGCTGGTGACAGTTTGCAAAGAAAGAAAGGATGAGAAAAGCAAATTCGGAAAACAGAGAAAGGAAGATTGTGGCCGGAGTTGATGGCAAGCCCAAATAGCGAGATAGTAGGGGACTCCATAGGAGACAGTGGAAACAAAATTGCAACAGGGTTTGGAAAAAATAGATGCAAAGTGAGCTAGCCAAGGAAATTTGGAATCTAGCTAAACAACTGAGAGCTACAATAGATGATGAAGAGGCGATGGTATAGAGAATCAAAGGGATGGAGAACAAAGACAGACAAAAGAAGGAAGTTATGGTAAACCAGGAAGCCAGGGACACAAAGATGGTAAGCATAGAACCTAATGATACTGATGTCCTTTAATATCAGAGGGTTAGGAGAGGCGTGAAAAAAAAAGAAAAATAAGGGAGCTTGTAATTAAAGAGAGGGTAGAATATTTAGCTATACATGAGACTAAATTGGAGGTAGTTGACAGGAATTTATGCAGAAGTGTGTGGGGTAGTGATGATTTTGACTGGATTTTTAAGCCTTTAGAGGGTTTCTCTGGAGGCTTGTTAAGTATATGGAATTCAAGTGTGTTTAAAAAGAAGGAGGAGATTTTGGGGAATTCTTTCATTGGAATGTTTGGGGTATAAGGAGGAGATCAAACACCGGTGTACATACTCAATATTTATTCACCGTGTCCATTGTCGGGTAAAAGAGTGTTATGGGAGGAGTTACTTAATCTGATTAATAGTAGGAGCGGGAGATGGTGCTTAGGGGGTGATTTCAATGTAGTAAGAACGGTATAGGAGAGGGCAGGGTGCAAGGATCTAACCATGGAGATGAATGAATTTAACAGCTTTATCCGTGATGCTGGGTTGTTAAATCTGCCATTGATAGGCAGAAAGTATACTTGGTATAGCTCCGATGGCTATTATATAAGTAGAATTGATAAATTTCTGATTTCAACCGAATGGTTTGAGAAATGGAGTGATGTGAAGCAATGGGGCTTGAACAGATCAATGTCAGATCATAGTCCTGTAATATTGAAGAATGAAAAAGTAGATTGGGGGTCAAAACCATTCAAGTTCTTTGACGCATGCTAGAGCAACGCGAGTGTAAGGAGTTGATAAGAAAGGTATGGAACACTATAGTGGATAATGGGAAGAAAGTATTCAGATAAAGGAAAAATTGAAAGGAACTAAAAAAGCCTTCAAGGTGTGGAGTGGCAACTACACGGCTGACATAGATAGCAAGATAAAAGAAGTTGAAAAAATGATAGCTACACTAAATGAGAAAGGAGAAAATAACCAGCTCTCAGAAGAAGACACTAACAATAGGAAAGGGTGTTTCTTTTATCTCTGGAAGAACCTAAGAATTAAAGAGAGCATGTGACAGCAAAAATCAAGGAAGATGTGGCTAAAAGATGGAGATGCAAACACAAAATTTTACCACAACTACTTGAAGGGCAGATGGAGAAGAAATGAGATAAACAACATCCAGGTTAATGGAAAACAGCTTCAGGAAGTGGCTAAGTTAAAAGAAGAGGTGGCAAAATACTTTCAAGAACTATGCACAGAAGACAAATGGCAAAGACCAAAGTTGGACGGAATCAACTTCAAACAGTTATCCCATACGGACAATGAACTCCTTATGGCTAAGTTCTCAAAGGAAGAAGTAAAAAACACAGTGTGGGATTGTGAGCCAACAAAGTCCCCGAGGCCTGACGGGTTCAATTTCAAGTTCATTAAGACCATGTGGGAGGACATAAAACATGATATTATTGGCTTCGCTCAGGAATTTCATGAACATGGCAAGCTAGTAAGAGGGTCAAATGCATCATTCATAGTTTTAATTCCAAAGGTTGGAAACCCCCAAAGAATTGAAGAGTATAGACCCATCTTGCTCATTGGGGTCATGTACAAGATTCTAGCTAAGCTGCTAGCTAATCACCTCAGGAAAGTACTGGATAAGATCATCGGGGAGCAACAGATGGCTTTCATAAAGGGCAGACAATTGCTGGACGGGATGGTGATTGCAAATGAGGTGATTGATGAGGCAAAGAGGAAGAAGATGAAAAGCTTTCTACTCAAAGTGGATTGCGAAAAAGCTTATGACAAGGTTTGTTTGGACCTTATTGATTACATGTTATTGAGAATCAGGTTTACTATCACATGGAGAAATTGGGTAAAGGAATGTCTGCAATCAAGTACAATATCAATTCTCATCAACGAAAGTCCAACAAGACAGTTCCCAGTTAGCAAAGGAACAAGACAAGGTGATCTACTATCTTCTTTTTTGTTCTTAATAGTGGCAGAAGGACTGAATGGATTAATGTCATCTGCGGTGGATAAGAAACTATACAAGGGAGTGAGGATAGGTAATGGAGATGTGATGGTATCTCACCTCTAGTTCATAGACAATACAATATTTTTTTGTGAAGCATCAAAAGGAAACATCCAAGTTATCAAATGCATTCTAAGGACCTTCGAGTTAGTGTCGGGACTAAAAATCAACTTCGAAAAAAGTCAGTTGATGGGTGTTGGGGTAGAGGAAGATTGAAAAAAGAAAATGACAACCAACCTCCACTATAAAGAAGGTGAGCTACCTTTCAAGTACCTGGGAATTCCAATCGGAGGAAATCATAGAAAGTTAGCAATGTGGCAACCACTGGTGAACTCCTTCAAAAAAAAGCTAACAAGTTGGAAGGGCTAGAATCTATCGCTGGGAGGTTGGATCACACTCATAAATTCTGTGTTGTCCAGCTTACTTGTGTTCTTGATGTCAGCCTACCTACTCCCTAAAGGTATACTCTATTCCTTAGATAAAATTCGTAGAAATTTTTTTATGGGGAAAGAAGGGGGAAGGGAAAAAAACCAATTGGGTTAGTTAGGAGAAGGTATGTAAACCAAAGGAGGAAGGAGGGCTAGGTGTAAGAGACCTGAGGAAGTTTAATGTGGCATTGATGGGAAAATGGTTGGGTAGGCTAGCAAATATGGAAGAGGGCTTGTGGAAGAGTGTTATTGAAGGAAAATATGGAGTGACAGGGGGGCACTGGTTGGAATGGGTGCGTGATGGCAAGAACATAGGATCGTTATAGTGGAGAGATATCCAAAGCCTCAAAACTGGGGAGGGGGTGAATGTAAGATGGTTGTGGGAGGGTTTTAGGTTGAAGATAAGGGAAGGGAAAGGTATTAGTTTCTGGTGGGATGTGTGGTGTAGGGAGGAGTGTCTAGCTAACAAATTTCCCAAATTGTATTCATTGTCAACCAGGGAAGGATAAAGAATGTCATGAAATGGGTAATGTTGATCAAGGCAAATGGAAATGGAACCTAACATGGAGAAGAAATATGTTCGTGTGGGAAGATGAAGCAACCAGAGAAATGAAAAGGAAGGCCGAAGATGTGAAGATCACACCAGGCAACCCTAACAAATGGGAATGGATCCACAGCAAGGAAGGCCAATACTCAACAAAAAAAGCATACCAAATGTTATCAATGCAAAGGAAGGAACCAGAGGAAGCTAAAATATTTAAAAGAGTATGGAATCCCATCGTCCCAAGTAAAGTTGCTGCGTTTAACTAGAAAGATTTGTTGGACAGAATTCCAACTAAACTAAACTTGATCAAAAGAGGGATTATCAAAGACATGGCAGAAGAGAAGTGTTTTTTGTGTGAGGAAAAGAATGAAGATACTACTCATTTGTTTGTAAACTGCAGAGTGGCTAGATGGTTGTGGCAGGAATGTGCAAAATGGTGGGGGATAACACTCACACTTCACAATGATTGCTGGACAACATTTCAGCACTTCAGAACATGGTCTACAAAACCTTGCATATCAGAAGGGTGGGACTGCATCTGGAATACAGTTATATGGACTGTATGGATGGCACAAAACGGGAAGGTTTTTCATGATTTGAAGGTAAACCCAAGCAAACTTTTTGAGCTTATTCAATTGAGATCCTTTGCATGGCTTAAAGCAAGGAAAGCTAGGT